CCCCAACCATTAGTACCAGGTAACTCCTAGTAATTTTCCAGTTATTTACCCATCACTATAGTCATGGGCTGTCAGTACCAACCCATCTCTGTTATGTTCAGAAATGTTTTTAATTGTTCACCCATTCTGGCTGCCCTAGAGCTCTCTATGTAGACTAAGCTGGCTTTGAACTCAAATCCATCTGCCTCTGCCTTTCTAGTACTGGGATTGAAGGTGTACACCACTGCAATCCTCCCTGCCATTTTTTAGCAAATACAAGGTATGTAATTTCTCTTTAAGAGACTGATTAAAAAACATTGCCATTTTCCATTTTAAATTGCTTATCTGTTGTTTGTATCTAAGTTGTTCTATTTACCAATGAAGACTTGGGAGTCAGATGTTGGGGTGAAAACCTGCTAGATCAGAGAAGCCAAGAAGCAGCCAGCTGACCTTCCCTTTCATCCAGAGACCCAGTAAGAGAGCATGTCTTCACCCATCCCAAAAAAGACCGTGAATCTCTAAGTCCCTCTCTACTCTTCCTGTGAGTCTCTCTATCCATATTCCAGGCCCCTCCACCCTCTTTATGGCTAATTCCTGTCAACTGGTCACTGGCTCTGCCCCTGATCCAAGGTTAATTTTGTTAACGCAGATTCAGAGTTTCACAGTGCGATCAAATATCCCTCAACATTTCTCAACCAAGGTTTACTATCACACCTTCCCTCACGGTGTTAATCTCTTCTCAATATGTTCAGAGACATTAGTTATTCCAGCAAGTTCATACCATGTTTTCATTGTAGACATCTCTCCATTGCTTGTTGTTTGCTCTTTAGAGGTGCTCTGTTGCCTCCCTGCACCTCCCTTCATGATGCATTTTGTGGGTTCACTTTGCTTCTATCTATGCTAGGCTCCTGTGTCTTCCTCTGTGTTGGCTACTATAAAGTGAAGTGCATTTTTGGGGAGCTCCCCACAAACAGGCTGTGAGATGACAAATGACTTATTTCCATTGAGGGGGAGAGTGTCTTTCCTCCTGTGATTTGGACTAGCCTGTGAGCACCGCATCTGACAGAGTAACAGAAGTGATACCGGGCTTGTGCTCATTCTAGCCTGCAAGAGGACCAGCAGCTTGTAACCTGCGGTGGAACCACATAAAAAGTTTGACTGACCAGGCTGTGAGGAAGCCAAAGCTAGACATACATGTGGCAAGGTGATGGGCAAATACAGAGAAATGCTCAGCCGCAGTCCAGCTGCTCAAGTCATTGGAGACCTTCGACGTTACGACTCAGAGATCATCTACCTCCCCTGTGTTCTGTTCACACTGTCAGTTCCATGACAAATGGTCCATACTTACATGTAAGTAACTACTTAGTCTGGAATGTAGTTTTTGTCTTTGTCTCCATGAGGACATTTGACAATGTCTGATGATCCAAACCCAGAGGGTGGGGCAGTTTGTTATCTACATTAATGCCAAGTGTCCAACAATGCTGCTGAATGTCCTACAGGGAACAGCATAGCCCCCTAAAACAAGTGTCCCCCAGGCAAATTTGACAATGGTGCCGAGGTTGAGAAACCCTGGTCTGCACCAAACATTACTCTAATACATGACTAATGTACACACTTGGACTTTCTTAAACACATGACCCATCTTTGAAATAACGTGTTTGTTCAAATTTTCATAGTATACCCACTTGGGCATTTGGGCTCCTCTGAGAAGCAGTAGGTTGGAACATTCTTTATTATAGTTATTTAATATTTAATATATTCTCTTATATTCTTACCTTTATTTAATTAATTTTTTTTAAAGAGAGGGTCTCTTGTATCCCAGTACCGACAGTGTAGGAGAGGATGGCTTTGAATTTCTGATCTGCTGCCCACACCTCCAAACTGCTGGGGTTATAGGTGTGTACCTACATGTAGGGTTTCATCTGCTGTTTGAATTCAGGGTTCTGTACATGGTAGACAAGTACTTTACAAGCTGAGCTGCATCCCAGCTGATTCTTTCATGTTTTTAGAAGGGTCAGATTAGTGATTAAAGAAAAAAAATAGTAGACAGAAAATTAATATAATCCCTACTTAATTTATCATTTCTCTTTCCCCACTGCAGTGGTGTGTGGCATAAATCATCTCTTAGGTTTTTCTCCTGGCAGCTCTCCTGCCTTTTCCGAGGGAAGAGCTCACCAGGCTTCTTCTGATCACCAAATAGTACTGTCATCATTACAGACCTAGAAAGGGCCTTGTCTTAAGTAATAATGGAACTAGAACAGGAATTTGGGTCTATCCTAACAGGTACCTGTGGCGTGTTCTTTGAACTAAAATCAACAACAGTGTTTAAGCCCTTTTAACTACATAAATTCACCTTCCACAACACAACAAATAAAATGTGTACCCCGTTCGACTTTCATCAAAACTAAAGCCGCCTGAGGCTACCATTCCGTGCCACCCAACCATACCAAAGGCTGCACCCTGACACCGTTGATTATGGCCTTGCAGACAAAGTGGGGATTTGCAGCCCTCTGTTGTGACATGCAGCATGTTTGGGAGGCTTGCAACAGCTACGTCTGGATGACAGCTCTGTTTGCAGAGCGAATTCATTCAGGCTGAACTCAGCAGTTAGTCATGGGTGCTTATTTCATGCGTTCCCACTCCCCAGCTCCACCTCATTCTCCAGCCTCACCAGCTAAGTCTAAACCCTTGGCACAGAAGGTCTCTGTGTCCTCCGCCAGTCTCATCCAACCAGTGACTTGTGATACATTTTGAAGCTAACCACTTTGCTCTAGCTACTCCCTCTGTAGAAGGCAGCTACTGGCTGTCTCACTCATCTTCTCAAAGTCAGTAACACAATAGAAGTTCTTTGACATCTTCAGAGAGACGAGGGGCCTGAAGGAAATCCATGGCTCAGACCGCTTCCTCCTCCCCAGTCCTGTGACTGGAAGTTCCATCATCCCATCCCTTCCTGTCCTTCTTTTCTCTAAGCAGAATGTTTGTATCTCCAGACTGGGTTTTAACGGAGGTCATCCAGCCTCTCGCCTGGCCACAGACCTGACTGGATAACCCGCTATTCCTGGCCCTCCTTTCATGGACACTGGGTATTTCTGTATCAGTCAGTCCTTCACTGAACACTTCCTACTTGTTCCTGTTCATTTTCTCCTTTCCTCTGTATACATGGTCCTCCCTTCCATCCATGTTCATGATCCTCCCTTTCATCTGTGGATATGGTCCTCCCTCTCATCTGCAGACATGGTCCTCCCTTTCATCCGTGTACACGATCCTCCCTTTCATCTGTGGACATGGTCCTCCCTTTTTATCTGCGAACATGGTCCTCCCTTTCATCTGTGGACACGATCCTCCCTTTCATCCGTGTACACGGTCCTCCCTTTCATCTGTGGACATGGTCCTCCCTTTCATCTGTGTACACGGTCCTCCCTTTCATC